CATGGCCATTCAAAGTTGTAAAATTCATGCCGCTGCACCCCATGGTTTACGTTCTAGGGGGCGCCAAAGATGACCCAAATATCCACATTCTTAAAAGTCGTTTTGGCCACTGCAGGAGTACAGAGTACTGCAGGATACACACACACAGACACACACACACACAGACACACACACACACACACACACACACACACACACACACACACACACACACTCAGAGTCTGTTTTTTAGCACCTGCAAAAACATGCTATTTACATATTTGACAACAATGCAGAGGCTTCCTTTTGCCCCTGAAAAAAATCAAATTTCTAACACAACTTGACTGCTCATTTCTCCAAAAGACAACCATGAAGCTCCATCCAAACCTGAAGCAGGCAGTTGGTGCATGCGTACAGTAACCTGAGGGGAGTGAGGTGACTGCTTCTGAGGAGAACATGAGCAGTGAAGATTCACCTTGGAGCGAGAACAGGGACGTGCACATGATTATACGGGGGCAGGGGCTCAAGTTTTTTCCAGTCGTTTATACAATATGGAAATTAATGTGAAATTAAAAAACAAAGTATTAATAGAAAGGTAATGACTGTCCTGTGTAGGTGACAGTGATATCCAATAGGCTAGGCACTCACAAGGCTGGCTGTGGCAAGTGTAAGTGAAAGCAACACGCACTGGCAGGAAGAACAGCAAACGCCGATGAAGGAAAAGGGTCTTTGCAGTGATGGGCGTTACCAGAGAGGACGATGGCCAGAGGACGCGAATGGGACGGGGAGGCAGCGCGTTGGGGGGGGGGGGGGCGACACAGCTCGGGCCCGCCAGTGCCCCAACGGGGCCCTAGTCTTCTTATTATTTTTCTGCCCCTTTGAACTGGAAAATGGCCCACTTCCCACTGGTGAAAACTCATAAAATTTGGCAGGACGACTGGGCCTGGTGAAAAATTCGATATTCTGAAGTCACCCAAACAATCAAATGCAAAATGGCTCCATAGCGCCCCCTAAGGTGAAAAATTCACATGATTGAGTGTCACGCCTGTACGCTTTGTCAAAATGACACAAAATTTGACACACACGTGTATCTCAATAAGATCTACAAAAAAGTCAGTGCGGGCGTATCTGTCAAATGTACGTTTAAAGGGCTATTTCGCATTTTTTGCCGATCCGCACACATTGGAATTTCGCTAACTCCTCCGAAGGCTTTCGTTCCACCGGCACCAAATTTGCTCAGGCCAATCTACACCCCATGGCCATTCAAAGTTGTACAAATCATGACGCTGCACCCCACGGTTTACGTTATAGGGGGCGCCAAAGATAACCCAAAAATCCACATTCTTACAAGTCTTATAACTTTTTATTTCTGTCCTCACTGGCCTCCAAGTTTTCTAGGATGATGCAATGTCCAGCCATCAACACATTTGTGAAGGAATTTTTACTCCCCAAAAGAGCGCCCCCCATGGCAGGAGAAAAAAGGCCATTTTTTCTTGTCCTATAAGGTGAAAAAACACATTGTTGAGTGTCACGCCTGTACACTTTGTCATATTGAAACAAAATTTGATAATCACGTGTATCTCAATAAGATCTACGAAAAAGTCAATGCGCACGTGTCTGCAAAATGTACGGTTAAAGGGCTATTTCGCATTTTTGGTTGATTCACACACATTGGAATGTGGCTAACTCCTCCTAAAGCTTTCGTTCCACCGGCACCAAATTTGCTCAGGCCAATCTACACCCCATGGCCATTCAAAGTTGTACAAATCATGACGCTGCACCCCACGGTTTACGTTGTAGGGGGCGCCAAAGATAACCCAAAAATCCACATTCTTACAAGTCTTAACTTTTTATTTCTGTCCTCACTGGCCTCCAAGTTTTCTAGGATGATGCAATGTCCAGCCATCAACACATTTGTGAAGGAATTTTTACTCCCCAAAAGAGCGCCCCCCCATGGCAGGAGAAAAAAGTCCATTTTTTCTTGTCTCCTAAGGCGAAAATTCACACTATTGACTGTCACACCTTTACGCTTTGTCAAAATGACACAAAATTTGACACAAACATGTATCTCAATAAGATCTACAAAAAAGTCAGTGCGGGCGTATCTGTCAAATGTACGGTTAAAGGGTTATTTCGCATTTTTTGCCGATCCGCACACATTGGAATTTCGCTAACTCCTCCGAAGGCTTTCGTTCCACCGGCACCAAATTTGCTCAGGCCAATCTACACCCCATGGCCATTAAAAGTTGTACAAATCATGATGCTGCACCCCACGGTTTACGTTCTAGGGGGCGCCAAAGATAACCCAAATATCCACAGTCTTAAAAGTCTTATAACTTTTTATTTTTGTCCTCACTGGCCTCCAAGTTCTCTAGGATGATGCAATGTCCAGCCATCAACACATTTGTGAAGGAATTTTTACTCGCCAATGAGCGCCCCCCCATGGCAGGAGAAAAAAGTCCATTTTTTCTTGTCTCCTAAGGCGAAAATACACATTGTTGACTGTCACGCCTTTACGCTTTGTCAAAATGACACAAAATTTGACACACACATGTATCTCAATAAGATCTACAAAAAAGTCAATGCAAGCGTATCTGTTCAATGTACGGTTAATGGGTTATTTCGCATTTTTTGCCGATCCGCACACATTGGAATGTGGCTAACTCCTCCTAAAGCTTTTGTCCCATCGGCTTCAAATTTGCTCAGGTCAATCTACACCCCATGTCCATTCAAAGTTGTACAAATCATGACGCTGCACCCCACGGTTTACGTTCTAGGGGGCGCCAAAGATAACCCAAAAATCCACAGTCTTAAAAGTCTTATAACTTTTTATTTTTGTCCTCACTGGCCTCCAAGTTCTCTAGGATGATGCAATGTCCAGCCATCAACACATTTGTGAAGGAATTTTTACTCCCCAAAAGAGCGCCCCCCCATGGCAGGAGAAAAAGTCAAGTTTTTCCTGCCCATCGCTCAATGGCTCAAACGCATCGCTCTCTCGGCAAAACCGAAAGGAGGAGCAACTTGCCATTTGGATATATACTAGCTGTGTTTGTGCCCTCACTCATGGTCCAGACTTTTTTCAAAAAGGACATGGAGTTTGTCTGCAGCGAGCGTTTTGGTAGAAACTGCGCCTCCCATTCATTATAATGGTAAATGACCACAGACAAGTGCGCACACCATCTTTGGACCTTGAGTGTGACGCAATCGGGAGGGGTAGGCGGTCGCGCTGGGGGTGGCGCGACACGGCTCGGGCCCGCCAGTGCCCCAACGGGGCCCTAGTTGATTGTTGTAGCAGAGCGGTTCAGTTGTCTCTAAATCTATAATGTTTGGTTTACAGATTTTAGTGGGTTCAGAGATCATGCTCTCGTACAGCCTGAGCTGACTGTCTGCTGTTTTTGGATTTCTTGCATTTTTTTAAAGACGCGCTGTGTCTCCAAGCGAGTCCAGCCTCTCACCTGAAATGCGCAGCTGTGCAGCGGCATGCAAAGAATTCTGGGATACCAACGGCACGAACGCGCGCATAAATGCACGCTTGAAAAATGCTAAGCGCGCTTAGCATTTCTTAGCATTTCGTGCCAAATGGGACACCGTTCTCGCCGCGTGATGACATCATGCACGCTTCAAATGCGCCGTTATGTGCAGTTCGACGGTGCGGTCTCTGAAATGGGACACAGCCTCTGTTTTCATTTTTTTCCAGGCAATTAGCCGTCTGCTGCCACCCAGTGACATAGAAGAGTACTGCTCTGACGCTCACTTTATTACAGCACAGACACTCGACAATGGCATGTTATTTGCAAACTGGATAATTTCCCACGGCACACCTGACGATCTCTCACGGAACACTAGTGTTGAAAATCCCTGCTCTAGGCAATTCTCCCGCTGACTGCGCACAACGCTACTGCGCAAGTGAGAGAGAGCGTAAAACGCAGAGCAGTAGATTAAAACAGAGTGGCGACAACTTCAGATCTCGCCGCCGGAGCGGTCACGTGGTTCATGTACCCCTCCATAGTTCCAAAGCAGCCTGCACTGTCCATGCTCTTCAACGGGGCAGACTGCAGTGAGCGCGCATTTAAGAGGTAAATATTAAAATTAACCATAAAAAGTCAACATTTGCAACTCTTATTGGATTACTGTGTACACGTCAAAGTCACGTATGTATATTTAGCGGCTGGATGACAAATAAAAGTGAAATAAGACAAGTTTGGTAACACGTGTTACTTTTTAATAAGAGAAAATAATAGAATAAAGTGGTAAGTCACAGGTGCTACAAGCTGTTTAAACAATTGTACAATGTTTTGGTCTTGCAGCATGGCCTGCATAACATTTTTTCATGTTACACATACGCCTTAAATGCTGACAGGATTTAAAAAGTAGCGGCCCCTTTACTCTATCATCCCATAAGCAGAAATCAAATTACATAGCATTTATGTTAGTCTAAAAAGAATAAATTGCACATAACATCGGGAACTGATAAAGGCTGAAATCTAAAATAAAGCCCATAAGTAACCATCTCAACATATGATTGATGATGATGATTCATCTGTGATTCATAACTCAGTCACACAATAAATTTTGGCAGACCTCTACAGCTGACGACGTCCAGCTAGCAGGCCGTGGCTAAAAAATCGATCCCAATTCCTAACTAAGAAAAGGGAATTACATTTGTAATTACAATTTGAGCATACTAAAATTAAAATCATTTTACATGTAAAGGGGTCCCTCGATACCATTTACACACGTATTGGCATTAAATTCGTTGATACAATATTTTAACTCGGGGAGTGTGGGAGCAAACCGTGGCTAAAAAATCGATCCCAATTCCTGACTAAAACAACGTAATTACATTTGGGATATACATTTTTACATATATAGGGGTCCCCTCAATATCAATAACACACGTATTGGCATTAAACTTGTTGATATTTTATCATTTAACCTCGGTGAGTGCTTGCCTTGTGGCCATAGAAGCGAACGGCGTCCGACGTGACAGGCGGTCATGTTGGAACTATAACGAGTTCCATAACCCGGAAGTGGGGTCCGCCGGGCTGTACAGCGTATGTCTATGGGAGTGTCGCCACTCTGTTTTAATCCATTGCTCTGGTAAAACGCTACTGTCCAAAGTTGGTGTCAGGAAATGGATTGAGAAAAACTCGAAATTATCGGCTTCAAATCCGTATAACGGCGGAAGTTGTACATACAGTCTATGATAAACACTAACACACTAATGACAACGAACACAGAAATGAGTTCTCCGTGGACAACAACGATCATAGCCAGCACATCACTCCAGGTGAGGATTAACGTTTTAATCGTTGAACAGTTTGAATTTGATCAAACGTTATCCTGCTGGCTGGCAACACCGAATTTTAACACCGAAATCGCAGAGATCTGTGCTCAAAACAGGAACAGTTAAAGTTTTTTCCTGTTGTAGCCTATTGAATATTGCGTGCCATTTGTATTGGTATGAAGTTGATGTATTTCTTATATTTTAATGATTTTTTTTCCAGGACCACGATACAAACAGGATGCTTAGTGCCCAGCAGCACAGAATCAGGTTTTCAGACAGTGTGGAGGCTGGAGTCTTCATTTTCCCCCTGTCAGGTAAAATCGCTGTATTGTCTGCCTAGAGATACAACCAATAAAGTGTAGCTTTATTTATACCTTTATGCTGATAAACTATAACAGCGTCTTTGCAAAATGTTGTATTTTTATAAGCTGCCATCGAATCTTTGAAAGCACACCCAAAATACTCATTTTTAAACCTGTGTGTAATGTAACCCTACAGGAAATGTATCTAGATAAAGTTGGATTACTATTTGTTGTGGTCAGAGTTAACCAAACAGTACACAAATAATGCGTTTATTCATTTTCTGAATTGTTTACTGTAGGCACTGCCTTCCTCTTGGTAGACCCTCACAACCTCCCTGAGCGGTTTGAGGAATCTGGACTTACTGAGAGGATCAATAAATTTGTGCAAGTACACCGGAATAGCTTCCTGCTTCTGTATGCCCCATTCAATGGAAAGAAGGAAATAGAACTACTTGCATTGATTCAACGCAGGTGAATGAATGATTGCATTATGTCTCTTTATAAATTTAAGTTTAAATATAAAAGCAAAATAGCTTATTTTCATATAGTGTAACTAAATTGAAAAAAAAATGTAGTTGCACAAACACTGGGATTATCAGCGCTGTTATCTTTAACAGCTTTTGAATAAGCATATTTTCTGTGTCTTACAGATTCTTTGGTTGCAAACTCAGGGTCCTTTCTGTGCGAAACAATGCCGATATTGTCAAAGGAATGCTAACAATTGCCAAGGTAAAGATGGAAGCAGCGCACAGAGGATATTTGGTATATCTGTTAATGAATTACACATGCTGTTGCTCTCTCTCTCTCTTCCTCAAATTAAGCTTAAGGCTTGTTTGTCCACAGGCCACCAGTAAGCCCCATGTTGACATGATCCGTAACCGGATGTCTCTGGCTCGGGCTCATATCATTGAAAGCAGTCCTGTGTGGGAGATGCTAAGAGACATGCTTTAAAGCTCAACAGGTGATCGAACATTTTCCTCAAAGAAAAAATGAAGATTGTTATTTAATGGCAGGGTAAAAGATGTGATACGATATGTTAGTGGTTTGTTCTCATCTGTCACATTTCATACAGTTACTTTGCCATGGAGAAATTCCCAGTTCAGCACTTTTTTCAGTTCAAAGAAAATTAAATAAAATTGGAAATCATAACCCAGTTAGTCTGAAGAGCTCTTTATACACACACACGCACACAGTACAAAAACAAGGGAATGAACAGAGACAAACCAACCAGAAGCCAAAGAACAGTGATGAAAGAATGATATTAATTCACACATTTTAGAACTCCTTCAGATATTTGTCGAAGTAACAGACAATTCTCCCATCAAAAGGTGAGTTTTTGATAATATGTGTATGAAGTCCCATATCAGGATGCCATATCATCATTTCTTTTTGAAAAAAATTAAGATGAAGATGAATTTTCAATCAAACTTGTTCATGGTTACTTATGATGATGGTACAGATAAAGGTAAAATGCTAGGATAGTTCTAATAAATATTTACAATGTTTGGTTTTCTGAACAGGGATACCATTGATCATTTGCAGTTGTAGAGAGTAGTTCATCTGTAAACCTTGAGTTTTTCTTCAGTGATCTCCTCAATCCGGAATATAAGACTTTCCATCAGGTCAAAAGTCACTAAAGCACTCTGCAACACCTGCAACACATGACAGCAGTCAGCTTAAGTCCTGAAAACACTTGTTAACAAATTTTAGTCGATGAGAAAAAATTGTTTCTGTACCTGGTTCTGGACTTCTGAGGACATGTCGGGCACTTTTTCATGTCTCACAGCTAAGCTTTTTACTAATCTGGCTGATCGAGCAGCATCTCTGGCTTCTAGGAAAGGAAAATAGAATGTTCTCAGGGTGAAAACAGTGTAGCAGAGTGTCTCCATTTGCCATTGTAGCATTATTTCACCATACAGGAAAGCAGATAATACCTACCTTTTGCCTTTAGCTTCTGATCCTCCCTCAGTGCTTTCAGCTCAGCAGAATAATATCCTCTTGATATGCTGACACACACACGCAGCATTTTGAGGTATTCATCCTTGATCCTGCACAGCTCTTCCCACACACCTGTCTAAAGGTGGAAGTAGATTAGCTTTCTGCATAAACTTGTACAAATGGTTGGTGAAAGTTTCAAGTTTGAATGACTTACTTTGTTCTTTAGTTCTTTGTCTCTGAGAAGTAGGTAGCGTAGAAGATTTAAACTCTCCATTATTCTGGAAAAAACAGACAGGGCATTGCTAAATTTCTCAGTCTGGATCAAGTGTCCTTCTTCCGCAATGATTTAGCCTTTGTATTTAAATTGCTGCACTAACGTCAAAATTGCAAAAAGCCAAAGATTTTCACTATATCTTAACTTGACTTGGGCTTTTGCATAATTGACCAGCTTCATGGTGGGTATCATTAAGCAGCAACCATTATTTACAGAGCTTCGACGTACATATCAAGAGCAAATACAATAATGGTCCCTAAGAAAATTTGTAAAAGGCTGTGCAGGACCAAAATAAGTTTCAAATAAAGCCATCACAGGAAATATTTAGTTTGATCATTTACTACATTTCCAGTACAAAAGGACTGATATGGTAAAAGCCCTCCAGCCTTGCAGTGTAAACACTCATACTATGTTTATACATAAGGTGCTTCACATTCAAAGAAATACAGCTATTATTTCAGCTGCATATGTTTTTTACTGTCAATGAAGGCCAAAACATGCTAAATATACATGTCTAAAGTTGCATCTTTAATGTACACAACAGCATGCCTTTGGCTGTGTGACTGCATTGCCTCTAGCATAGCAAAAATTGGGGTATACTTACTTGTCCATATTGGTTAGCAAATCTGAATTAGCCTCTTGTGGTAGACACAACACCTGCCCCAACAAAGAGAGAAGGTCCTCTCCCAGGAACCATTTATTGGCATTGCCTGGCTGTAGGGGAGAAAATCATACTTCATCACCGTCAGATAAAATCACCAGGTTATTAAAATTAATCTTGTCAGACATCAAATGTATTTCATCTCACCTGCATAGAAAACTCAACCTGATCTCGTATATTTTTTATGATGTAACTCTCTACTCCTGCGTGGTTGCTGGTTTTTAACATGTACCTGCAAGAGATTATAAAACAACTGTAAAAAAAAAAAAGGACTCAAGTAGATGTGTGAAATATACAGCAATGAAAAGAAGAATTCAAGAGAAGATACACAGTGGTTAAGTAAATAAACATGTGCATCTTTCTATCATTGTAGGTTATTATCCATAAACTGATATGATGTAGAAAAAGTGTAAATCAGAAGATAATTAGAAACTAACAGCTACAGTTTATAAAAGGGCTAGTGTAATAAGTACTGTATATTAAACAAAAACATTTTGTGCTCCTTTCTCCTGATGACTTACCTGAAGAACTTGTATTTTGCTTCAGTGTCTAATTTGTTAATGAAGAGCTGGAGGACCTTCAGTCCTGATTCTCTCTAAGGAAGGTAGTGACATAGTCACATTAATTAGTTAACTTATGGGTTAAGTATCATGTGAAAGAATGATGAAAAGCAGCTGCTCAAGCTTAACACTCACCAAATGTTTGATAGGACAGTCAGTGAGAACTTGCCGCAGGTTCTGTTCATTAAAGGACAGCACAAGTCAGTAATTAGTCAAAAGTAGAAGTTCAACAACAGCTGCAGATCACAAAATTAGTTGGTGTTGTTCAGATATTTAGGTCAAACCTGTCGTAGCCGATCAATATCAACATCAATGTGTTTTTTGTTTTTTTTTACATTTATACAAGATTACCTTCAAACTGTCTTGGAGTTTTCTTTCAATTACTTTAACATTTTACTTCGGTCAGCCAGTGTTAAAAGTTGCAGATCTTCAAAAAAATATCAGGGCATTATGTTTGAATACTTATCCCAGTCTTACATATCATAACATCCATATTAGAGGCATTTTCATGTCTTACCTGTGGCATGCTACTGAAGCTCCTCAGCTCCAGCAGACTTACTGGAAGACTGTTGTCCTGCACATTCTCCAAGCTCTTAGCAGACAATGCCTAAGAGGAAACAACCAATCAAAATCCCTGAAGAATTACTCCCAGTCTCTGCTTCATACCTAACTTAATCTACTGTGAATTTTTCTGCATTGGTATTCATGTGTCCTCACCAGTCCTTTGAGCAAGTGTGATTCCTTTTTGCTGTTAAAGAAAAAGATCATTAAAGACATAAAGAAATCAATCAATGTAAAATGATGACTTCATGTTTCCAGGACATACCTACTGAGAAGCTGATTGATGTTTTCCATGTTGCATTGAAGAACAAACACAGGACTATAGATGCAGGGAGAGTATGATTGACATTTATATTTACAGTGTTTTTCTGTGTGTAATAATGCATCATTAGTGAGAAGATTTATTGCTTTCAATAGCAAAAGTTGCCTACCATACCTGAAAACTGCTGGAAAACTATCTATACATATGAGCTGAACAAAGAGTAGATAAGCCAGGCAAGCTCTTGACTCTTTAGACTGAGTGCTGTCTGTCTGGGCCCATTTCTTCACAGAGTTAAAGAACAGCAGCTCTGACAGTGGTGGCTGGATAGCAAGTAGAAGGACCTGAAGGAAAAATGATACACAGAGATGATAATGGTCCCTAAGAAAAGTTGCAGATCTTCAAAAACTCATCAATTTCAGTGCAAATAAATATCAGGGTATTATGTTTGAATACTTATCCCAGTCTTACTCAGATGAAGAAATCAAACTAAAATAGTTGTTCAACCTGTTTTCCACTGACAGAAAATGTGCGTTTACCATGATCTTTGTTGCAAAGAGCCACAGTGATGTTTGTCTGTCCTGGTTCAGTTCTGCCTCAAGCAAAGGCTCACTCAAGCTCCACATGCAGCTGCAGATGATCAGAATTAACACTTTGACATTTTGATATCATACCTCTCCTCAGAGATTACTTCTTAAAGGAAAATTTTAAGGCTTCTGTTGACCATAGCTACAGCTAGAAAAGGAATAACATTGAATTTAAAACTGATAAAATAAAAAGAATAAATAATTTGTTACATCCCATTACTCTGCCTAGTAAAGATGGAAACCTACAACTTCAGCAGCTCAGTCCTCATCTCCTCATCCTCGGAGTTTGTAACACAGTTTCCATTTTTACTTTTCACCTCCTCCATGAATGGTCGAGTGAATGCAACCAAGGCGTTGCAGCAGCGACACACACCATACTCATCTGCCTCCTCCTGCTGCTGGGTGTAAGGTACAGGCAGCCGAGACAGCTGCTTCTGTAGAGCAGAGAGAGCCAAACCCAAACCTGCTGCCTTTCTGTCCTTCAGCTGAAGAAGCACTATATGAAGAGAGGATGGTTGTAGTTGACATTAATGCACAGCAGAGGGAGCCCAACACCACTTCTTGAAAATAACTACTTGCTTATTCCCAGTGAACCAGTATATCTACAGTCGTAACACTTGAATTCCATTGACAGATGATTAACTTTATCTAATGAAGCCATAAAGAAATGATATGTTGAACTTTCAGGTTTTACTAAAAAGAAAGGCATGTTACTAACAGGGTTTACATTTGTCTGTAATGTATAATTAGAGTTAATGTAGCCCTTCATGCTTTGTGTCTGGAGCCTGGTGATTATATGTGTTGGCCAATTCGATCTGCACTTATCTTTGATATTATGAATTCAGTGTTATGCTGTCAAGTATGTGCAGTTATAAAAGGCTCAATGACAGAGTCAATGCTGAGTTAATGCTTTGAGTTAAGTCCCAATGGTGGCATTGTGAAATTAGGAAGCTATGCATACCTAACCAGCCACAGCTGGATAGGCAGCAGTCTGCTCTTGAACTGTTTGACAAAGTAATATTTGAATTTTTTTAAAAAGCTATTTTTCTATGAAAGCATCTTTGTCACGATATTTGCACTATTATTTCAGCAAAAACAGAGACACAGCCTTTTCTTTAACCTGCCATTGAACACCAAAGGATGATAAAGGCTCTACCCATATGTTATGTTAGCATGTTTAGCGTGAAAGTTTTTGTAATCTGTGTGGGTCGTATCACCTGTTTGAAGATGTGGAATCAGGGCTATGATGGTATCAGAAATTGCGACTGGATTGATGTCTTCAGTTAGTCCAACTAAGCTGTGTAGGAGTTCATTTGGGCTGCAGGTCTAAACATTAAAACAATATTTAAAGCCAGTGTAAAGAAATCTTGCTGTAGTATGGATAAATCTTCTGTACCTACCCCCGTCAGATGTGTGATGGCAGCCTGGCAGTGATCAAGACTTTTCCCTTTTTTAAGCTCTTCTTTAACAAGAGGTTCAATGAGAACACACCCCATGGTCTTCACAAGCCCCTATGTGTAAGAGAGCAGAGTTATATTCAGTGGTAACAAGAGAAGTTAAGTCAGGCTGTTTCTTTCCTTCTGCATGTCTTTCTTCTTTAAAACGTCTTGCTTTGTATTCAAACAGACATGCCTAAGATACCCTAAGTAAATATTTGTGCATTTTAAGTGCATTAACAATTTGTTGCCATTATCTTCATTTATACAATATATGTTTTTTGATACCAAACACATCCTGAGAACATGCTCCATATCACCACCATCTCCACCCAGTCTCTCAATATCACAAACAGCCTGACCAAGAGATAAAGTTTGTTCTCAAATATGATCTGCAAAATCTTGTATTTGTCATCATTTTATGACAACTTTGCATGGTCATTTTAGATTTCTCTGATTTTACCACCTGTGATCTTAAAAAAGAACACTTCTCAGTTATAGATGCATATCAGTTTTTAAACAATAGAGGCACAAAGGTAGTAATGCAATATGCTTCTTCAAGCCACATCAATCTGTTTAAAAGCTGACATACTATATAGTATATACAGTATATGGGATACTGTGTTGTGAGTGGGTTGTCTAAATCTAAGCATCTCAACTTGAGGGGATTTCTTGAACGCATACATTAATACACAAATAACATTAAGTGATGACCATGATATGTTTTCTGTCCTGACAATCAAACATGGATGCTCACAATTTGCTCTGACCACAATTAATGTTACTTGTGTCTAGTCTGGTTCTCTATGTCTAAATACAGAGCCATAGATTTCTGATTTGTTAGTCATATCAGCCCCTTGAGATTGTTCCAGTCTTAGAAAAAAGTAAGAAATAACACACGTCTTTAAAAGTATGTTGTTCACAACTGAGCGTGGAGTGGCGTGTGGAGAGAAGGGACAACCAAGGGCACTTAGAGGAGTGCGGTATTGAAGAGGGTTATCAGTGGAGCGAGAAATCTGACTGAATATCTGCTTGTTTCCTCCCCACACCTCCAGGTCAAGAGGCTGCAGCAGGCACTGAGAGCTGGCTGCATGTTAATGTAGTAGATAGTTGCAGAAAAGTGGCTTCTGCTGCTATTCACTTCAATAACTGTGAGGCTGATGTTGCTCAGGAGGCTGTGGTGTTACTGTGTTTGTGCTTTGATATTGGTGTTTGACAGATTAACACTGTCACTCTACTGTCACTTCATATCTTTGAGGTATGACCGCAGCCACTCGAAAAAGAGAAGCTGTCTATGTCAAATGTGTTGGTGGTAGAGAGGAAATACCTGGTTCTTCTTATCCTGAAGGAACGTCAGGAGCTGTGCACTTTTATCTCCAGTGAGACAAGCAGATCCAAAATCTTTGAACTGCTGGTAGTCCTCTGGCTGTAAATCTCCTTGAGGTTTATCTCTCTAAATAAAGGATGGAAGCAGAATAGTTTAAAGCAGCTCCAGAAGTGTGCAGAGTTTTACTCCTACCATAGATCATGAGGAGGAATATTAAATTAAATAAGTATCCTGCCCTTTTGTGCTGTTATAGTTTAGGTAAGTCTATGGTCGGCAATAAATTATAGTGACCCCAATATGTGCATTTGCAAAAAATGTATCACAATGGTTAGAATTTCCAAAATGTAAAGGAAATTAAAAAAAAAAAAAACACTTTAAAAACCAATTCAGCATGTGTTAACTACCTTTTAGACTGCAGGAAATGCAAGTTTAAACTCTTTTACATTTCTTTATCACACTTTATTTCATTAAAGGAACAAATAATACTGCTTTTTAAATCATTCAACATATTTACATGGCTGACATTTTCCTCTGATGCCATGTTCAAGTTCAGAAGTTTAGCTGCTTTTATAAAAATCATTGTGGTGCATTTCAGCTAACAAGTTGTTTCAACATAAAAAGATAGATTGTCTCGATTGATCAGCAACTTGGAATCCAAGGGAATGACAGTATGATGAGACACATCTGTTAACCTGTAACAGCTAGTCAAAAACCAACCTTGATGATTGACTGTTTGGTTTTTAAGTCAGACCCTGTTGTATTGTGTAAAATTGTCACGCGTTAATGCGAGCTTAGGAATGGCTAAATGCTTACATAACACATTTATGGGTACTCTAGATACAATTGATGCACAACTTTGAACACAACCACATAAAATATTTCTATTGATAGCATCTTGAATTCCTCATACTTAGGGTGTCACCAGAGGAGAAGGCCAGCTGTGTAAATTTTAAGAAAACAGTCTCCCCAGGAATGGCAACAACCCCACCTATAGGGCCCAAGGAAACACTCAGTGGTTTCATGAGAATGATAAATGATGCATCATGTCCCCAGTCAACAGATCTTAACACCCAGGAGAGATTCCTGACAGAAGTGTGAGACAGCTCTCTGCACCACAATCATTTCAACACCAAAGGGGCGGTAAGTGTTGAGAGAGTCCATCACTTCAGTGGGTTCCAGAGACTTGTAGACTCGATGCCAATACCCCCTGCATACACCCACTTATAACATGATTGTTGGATTAGTCATTAAATCCATACCCCATTACTGTGCAGAAAAACCAATCAGCTCTTGCTCATTTTGTTGCCAAAAAGTCATTGCCAATGTTTCATCCAAACAGTGATGATGTATAATAAAAATATAAACAATAAAGTGATAATGAGAGTGATTCTTCATCTTGATTGAAGTATTGTAGATGAGTATAGCTGACTTACCCATCCCTGGATTATGTAATTCACCTGATCTTCATTCATCTTTTGTATCTTCTTGGCCATCTAAGACAATCCTATTATCAATGTTTCTGTTTTTCAATAAAGGCCTATGAAAGTATTGGGACCTGCTTCAGCACCAGGACCAAAATGATCCAATGTGTAGCTTTTACGATGCCTCTAGGGAGAGGGAGATTTAGTCTGTGAGGAACCCTGGTGTAAACCTCTTATCTCTCTTTGTGCTTGACGTGTAATAGGATTAAACCAGAACACTTGTGATTGGTCACATAGAAAATGTGGAAGTGTCTGGAAGGATCTGGTAGAATTACATCTTTGGTTCTGGTAACTAGATAGTGTAGAGTTGACCCTGACTTTGAAAGATCACTAGATATATTTATATCTATTATATTTTACTAGAGTTATCTCTGTAAAAAGTTTGGTAAAAGTTTACTGAATGGATCGACCACCCTTCAAACATCCACTCACTGAAGTATTTATTTAATTACCAAACCTGGAAGTGGAGATATGCCAACAAAAAAACAACATGTATATTGTTGCCTTTTCAGAGGGTTTAATTCTTTTCCAGCACAATATTTCACCAAATACTTACTGATTTCAGCCCCTAAAGCCAGTTTTTAGTATATATCTCAAATATCTTTGAGACCAAAAATATAAATCGTTAGACTCTTTGTCATGGAACTTTTTTTTTTTTTTTTCAATAAAATGCTGTTTTGTGCTGTAACTTTCTTCAGCCAGCCTCTTGCAGTAGTTTCAGTTAGTAATTATGATAACACAGAATTATTTGGTCTTGGTGGATGATGGGACTTCACTTTCTTCTCATACTCAGCCACAATGAAGAATGAAGAAGACATAATATGATGGTTAACATATACTCCTGGCATTCTTGCTACCTTTTTATAGACTGTGTCCAAGCAATGTTCAGTTTCTGTTGTTATGGTTATTTAAGTTTCATAGTTTGTGTTGTAATATTCCACATTGCTCAAAAAACATGTTAAACAGCTACGACTGTCCATAAACTTGATTTAATGACAGAAGAACAATTTTATGAACACATATAACATGAGCAGGGCTGGTTGAGCTTGATTGTGGTTTGAAGTTATACTTGATAAATAAATCGAGAGGTGACACACACTGGGTGCTCTCCAGCTTTTCTTCATTATTAAATGGGAAAGCTTGTAGTACAGAGAAGCACAAGGATTAAGTATACCTTTCAATGATTGCTTAATGACGACATACTGCTTCACACAAAGGCTTCAAAGGCTGGGATCATCTTTTGCCCTCAGGGTTGGCATATGTGTGTGTGTGTGTGTTTGTGTGTTTGTAATATAATAGAGAGACAATCACTGACTTCCTGCTCCCGCCACACAGCCTCAGCACAAGAGCAGCTCAAGTCCTGATTTTACATAAACAGGCAGAGAAGCTTGTTTGAACGGTCGGATTTAGCCAACATCTGCCGCTCTGGTTTGCTTTCTGTATTGCTGTGTGTCGAAAGCTTTACACAAAAAGCTGCAAAGCAAACACAACGCAGGCTGCTGCTCACTGCATGTGTGTCACTGATTTTGTTTTTAGTAATTGCGGGCTGATGAGGTTTTGTTTTGACACTGGGAAATCAAGGATCAGTATGTGTTGACAGTACTGCATTTGGCTTATGATTTAATTAGCTTATTTCAATTGGATTAAAGTTTTGGTTTGAATAGAAATATAAATCTTTGTTTAAAGTTGAATATTTATCAAACTCTCTGAGAAGTCTACAGCTGCTGAAGACTTAAAAATGCTACTGACATAAGGTGCATAAGTAATAATTGTTACTTACTGCCTATTTACTGCCTTATTACAAACTGCCTTATTGAGCTATAGATTAATAGTGATATCTAATTATTTGTTAACATGGTTGGCATAGTCATAATCTTATACTTAAAATTAAAAAAATAACTTAATAGTTTAAACTCTTGTCCAAATCTAGACATTAATTAAATGTCTAAATCAAGGTTAAACGTAAACTTTACTGTATATTGATCAATGGCCATTCAAATTATTTTAGTCCAATATTTGGCCATCATTTATACAACTTACAGTTGCTTTTATTTAACAGTTAATTGATTGAATTCTATCATCTAGATACGGGCTAAAATTTAGACTGATTATAGACCGGCAAATTTCTGTCTAAACTTAGACCAGATGTCTAATAAAAGTCTAAGGCTCAGTGGGGCTGTTAAGACCAAAATTAGAATTACATTAATGCTTCCCATGCCAGAAAAGACATCAACTTTATAAAAAATCTATTTACTTCATCGGCAGTGGTACTGATTTTCTGACCCTGCTCTGCTGAGTGAATGAAAGTAGTGATGACTTTTCAACTCAGGAGGGCACTGTTTGTCTGATGAGAGTCTTGTGGATTAAATGGCTCATGAGAACAAGGCAAAGGTGACAGGGATGTTCTCATAAGAAAGAGTCAAATATATATTTATTTATATTTTTTAAAAATGTTGTGCCTGGTTTAGCTTTTGAATTGTACTTTTACACTTAAACTGCTGCAGAACTAAATTAAATGAATCGTATTCATGACCAAGAAGACATGGTGTATGTTGGAAAAGTTAAATCCTGTGGCTCTTGATTGAGAGTTTGTCTTTTAGTGCTTTACATGTTAAAAATACTCCCCCCCACCCTACACCAGCACATACGCACGCACGCACACACACACACACACACACACACACACACACACACACACACACACACACACACACACACACACACACACACATAATGAAATCTTAAAAGCATGTGGCTGATTCCTCCCTACAGATAAGCCCCGCCCACTTCGTACTAGATATTTAAGAAGGAATACTCATATATGTGGTAAATACATAAACTGTAGTAAAATCTGAATGTCTGTGGCCAGCTCCTGCAGCTTCTTAATGATTTAAAAAGATTTTAGTGGCAGAACAAGGTAGCATTAAAAAAGAAGAGAAAATATTATTTCATATCCCACTATTTAACACAAATACAACAGGATCACCATGTTTACAATGTCTGGGATTTTTCGACTCTGCTGCATGAGGACATATACACATATACATAGCTAAGCTTTACATCAAACTGTTTTAATCATTTTACAGCATTCTATGACAATGGCTGTTAATACAGTTAATATACTGCATCGTGTATCATGGTATCAGGAGATAGAATGCCTGAGTGTGTAATCTGACACATTTTCAACAACCTTAAACCTGCAATTTATCATAGTGGAGGAAGTCAATTTATTCAGCGCCCCCCAACAGAGTATCTGTTTCCAGAAATGAATATTGTGAGCAATCTTCGAGTTAGGTGAAGACACTACATGACGGTTTGTTTACTTTCTAGGCATGTGGGGAGCGGCCTGCAGTGTTCAGGCGTACATGTATCTCAGGTCACTGATATCACATGTCCATTTATATTTAATTTGCTGGACTAGAACAGCATAGTTGTGTAACAAAGTGTGCAGAGGATGGTCTTGTACATAGCTCCTGTAGAGTTCAAGATCTTAGTTTTGTTGATTAATAGTGAATTATTATTATGGTCTGGTTGTAAATTCTAGATGGATGCAATCAAAGGTTTATGACTTGTTTTTACTCAAAGCTATTTTATTATATGTTTAAGCTTTTCACTGAAATAAAAAAAAAAAAATCAGAAAGCAGAAAGAGCCCCTACTGTATCATTTCAGTGGTACAGCAGCAGAAAGTGCAGTATTTATGGGGCAGTCTAGTATACAAACAGGCAGCAGTCCTGTGAGAGGGTGATAAAGCCTCTCCATTTTCCCTTTCTATCCTATATTTCCTCAGTGACCTCTTAGAGAGCAAGAGGTTCCAAGTGAAGTATTTATCCAGTCTGACTCCCCTTGAGGCTTCTGCAGACTGCTGCAAGCTCTCCTGTCTGCCCAAAACCTCCCCAGGCCCTGCTGTGCTTGTCAAAGAAAAAACTACGGGTCTGTCCCTAGAGTGCTGCCCCAGCTTCACTGCTGCTTTCTTCACATGAATTTGATTTTTAGAGATATTTTTTCATACAGTTCAGATTGACATATGTGATTGCTGCTTTACTATTTAATCAAAATGACCTTAAATTAATTTGGAAACAAACACAAATGAATCTTATTTACTCAAGTGCCCAAAGCAAGAAACTGTTCATTAAAAGCTAAATGCATTATAAAAAGGGGCATAAAATAGAATTTCACCAGCCTAGTCATCATGATTTTTTATTGTAAGTGTTCAGAAGTAGTAGTATAGGATTCTGATACAACATTCCCCCGTGACTTTTAGTGAAAGAGAGATGTAATCTAACTTTACCTTTGTATGGTAGTAAGTAACCATCATTTCCTTCAGTAGTTTACATCATCAGATCTCTTTTCAGTGTTAGATTTCCTGGAAAGGTCAGCTCGTCTTCCCATTCTTCTGTGGATATGTTCCTCCTCACACTTAATGCTTTTTATACAGCAGATTTGTGGGTCTTTGCACACATTAACATGTAACAGTCGTAGCCTTATTTTGTGTTAAAGCCTGCAGGTGCTTCCATGCATATAGCTGAAACTCTCCAAAGAGAAATTCCTATTAAAGGGGTTTCTTATGCGTCAGAGGCTTTTTCACAGTATATTCAGCAGCCATGACAGATCAGAACGATAATGGCTTCACTGGACAAGTACTGGTACAAATAAAGGCCTGTACTGTCATTAACCCTTGAAACAATGACAAGGTTCTACTTCACCCAGAACCCTTAAAAACACAGTTTCAGGAATTTGGAGAATGTACAGAAGTGGCCAGTCTTTTGGATTATGGTTTTGTTTGCCATTTTAGGTCATATGTGGGTGTCAGTATCAATTTCAGTCAATTTCATAAACAGCCTGTAACGATTTATTTAAAGTTGAGTTAGGTTCAGTTAAACTAATGCAAGTCCAAAAGGATTGGTAACACAAGGGAGAGGGAGGAGAACATGCAGTATTCATCATAGCTCATCGTAGGTGGTGTACAGTTAAGCAAAAAATGTACCAACAA